AAATTCATGTCCTCACATTTCAAAACCAGTCATGCTTTCTCAATAGTTCCCCCAAACTCTGAATTCATTTCCGGACTAACTCAAAAGTCCATAGTCCAAAGTATTATTCGAGATAAGGCAAGTCCTTTCCACCTATGAGCCTGTAAAATCAAAAGCAAGTTAGTTACTTCCTAGACATAATAGGGGTACACACATTGGGTAAATACAGCTGTTCCAAATGGGAGAAATTGGACAAAACAAAAGAGCTACAGGCTCTATGCAAGTTGAAAATCCAGTGGGACAGTCAAGTCTTAAAGCTCCAAAATGATCTCCTTTGACTCCATAACTCACATCCAGGTCATGCTGATACAATGGGTAAGTTCCCATGGTCTTGGGCAGTTCTGCCCTTGTGGTTTAGCAACGTATACCACCCATCCTAGCTGCTTTTACAGACTGGTATTGAATGTCTGTGGTTTTCCAGGTTCATGGTGCAAGCTGTCATTGGTTCTACCATTCTGGGGTCTGCAGGATGGTGGTCCTCTTCTCACAGCTCCACTAGGCAGTCTCCTGGCCCTATGTTTCCCTTCACACTGCCCTTGGAGAAGTTCTCCATAAGGGACCCATCCTTGCAGCAAACTTCTGCCTGGACATCCAGGTGTTTCCTTTCATCCTCTGAAATCTAGGTGGAGGTTCCCAAACCTCAGTTCTTAACTTTCAAGTACCCACAGGCTCAACATCACATAGAAGCTTCCAAGGCTTGGGGTTTGCACCCTCTGAAGCAACAGCCCAAGCTGTACCTTGGCACCTTTCAGCCATGGCTAGAGTGTCTGGAATGCAGGACACCAAGTTCCTAGGCTACACATAGCAGCCGGGGGTAGCGGGGCTGGGGCCCTGGCCACAGAATTATTTTTTCTTCCTAGACCTCTGGGTCTGTGATGAGAGGAGCTGCCGCGAAGACCTCTGACATGCCCTGGAGACATTTTCTCCATTGTCTTGGTAAATTACATTTGGCTCCTTGTTATTATGTAAATTTCTGCAGCAGGCTTGAATTTCTCCTCAGAAAATGGGATTTTCCTTCCTATCATATTGTAAGGCTGCAAAGTATCTGAACTTTCATGCTCTGTTTCCCTTTTAAAACTGCTTATATTTAACAGCAACCCCCAAGTCACCTCTTGAATGCTTTGATGCTTAGAAATTTCTCCCACTAGATACCCTAAATCATCTTTCTTAAGTTCAAAGTTCCACAAATCTCTAGGGCAGGGACAAAATGCCACCCATTTCTTTGCTAAAACATAGAAAGAGTCATCTTTATTCCAGTTCCCTACAAGTCCCTCATCTCCATCTGAGACCACTTCAGCCTGCATTTCATTGTCCATAACATTATCAGCATTCAACAAGTCATTCAAAAAGTCTCTAAGAAGTTCCAAGCTTTCTCATATTTTTCTGTCTTCTTCTGAGTGCTCCAAACTGTTTCAACCTCTGCCTGTTACCCAGTTTCAAAGTTGATTCCACATTTTCAGGTACTTTTTCAGTAGCACCCCACCCCTGGTACAAATTTTCTGTATTTGTCTGTTTTCATGCTGCTGATAAAGGTACATCTGAGACTGGAAAATTTACAAAAGAAAGAAGTTTAATGGGCTTACAGCTCCACATAGTTGTGGAGGCCTCACAATCATGGCAGAAGGCAAAGAGAAGCAAGTTACATCTTACATGGATGGTGGCAAGCAAAAAAAGAGCTTGTGAAGGGAAAATTCCATTTTCAAAACCGTCAGATCTCATGAGACTCATACACTATCACAAGAACAGTGCAGGAAAAGCCTGCCCCCATAATTCAATTGTCTCCCACCAAATTCATCCCATGACACACAGGAATTGTGGGAGTTAAAATTCATTATGAGATTTGAGAGGGGACACAGCCAAACCATATCAATCAGTAATTTGAACATCAAAGAAAAATCAGAGCCGTGATTTGAGGCTATGCTAGAAGAATGTAATTTTCTTCCAAATCACCAAATAAAAAAGAAAAGAATGTCTGTGTTTTGATGGGAATAAGGCAATAGTAGGAAAAGACATAAGAACCAGAAGCGATCCTCCCAAGGAAAGAATTGAATATGATTTTTTTGTACCTCTCTCCAAGTGTGGGGGATGAATAATAAGTGTTTCTGTCTTTTTAAAAAAGTTTGTATTATATGCATTCTCCAGATATTTTAAAGATAATTTACTCTTACATAGTATTTTTTTTCTCTATAATAAGATAATTACTCTTATTATCTTCTCTGTGATGATTTTTCAATCATTTGGGTTACTCAATTATACTGAATTAAAATGTGAATACTGTAGTTCTCTACATAAGGAATGAATTCTTGTCAAAATCTCTGAGAGTCCTCAGTCAATCCCCATCCTTTTTATGAGAAGTTATTTTTCATTTCATTCAGTTCAACTGAAAATTGAGGGGCAAAGTGTGTTGAGCACTGACTTTGGACTTAAAAACTATGAAGAGCCCAATGTGGACAAATTATGTCCTTAGACCAAGCCAGGAAGGAGCCAATGTTGATGGCCACATTTTCTTCTCCATTAAGAATCTGAGTAAGCCAAAGAGAAAGCCAACCTCTTTAGGAAGAGATAGGCAGAGATCATGTATATGTTCATTTTGATAATTTTTTTGTGAAAAAGTAATTGGCATTTCAGAATACCAATTATGTAGTTAACCTATACCTCTAGGGAAACTTACAATTTAGCACATCAAAAGATTTGAACCATTATAAAGTCAATTTCTTATACTAATCACCACAGACTTTGTACAGATAACTTCAGTATAATTCTGAACATCAAAGTCAGTAGATGGGAAATTGAGCTTATTAGACTAATGTAATTAATTAAATCTAGTACTGGAAAAGCATTTACTCTTGTAAAAGGCACTCCAGGCTACCTCTTTATGTGCATATCAGCCCTAGTTTTTGAGATGAGGGTTTTTTTTAAATAAATGAAAGAATTCAAGTGATGTTGAAAATTTCTGTGTACAGCAAATTGTCAAATTAGAAATTAGTCTTGTTCAACTTGTTTTATGGAAATTGAATGATGTTATCTTCCAAAAATTATATTGAAAGTATTTTTTCTAACATCCTTGAGAAATAGCTGGCCTAGCACAATCTGTCAGTCACTTTCTCTCCCTATTCTCTCTATTTTGAGTGAAGCCTATTTATTCCTTGAAGATCACAGGGCTCCCAAACATATCTGAATCTTCCATGCCAGAGAAAATGGGGCCATCAATACCAGCAGATGTCAGGGTCCAAATGACCCTACTTGCTGCCGCCCACAAGAAGACTCATGACTCAGAGGGCTGGGGGAGGTTGACCTTCCTAGTGGCAACTGAGCAAACATTTTTAATTTCGCAGCTGCTAGAGTGTCCCTGAACAGAATGCTGGATGGATTCTCTTAGCACACTCGGATAAACCACCCTAACTGGCTCACAATATATACCCTGCTGAACTACTTCTTGATCAGACAAAACAAGTGCTTATGACAATATGAAAGCAGGGATTCTGAGAAAAATGAGAAAATTAAATTATTGACAGTATTTGAGATACCCAGTTGTGTGCTACAGAATGACAGTTCTGTCAGTGACAGCCCATGTACACTACCGTGGTCTCATAAGATCATAATATTGTATTTTTACTACTCCTTTTCTATGTTTAGATGCACAAATACTTAGGGTTGTGTTAAAATTGCCTGCAGTATTTAGTATAGTAATGTGCAGTAGAGGTTTGTAGCTTAGGACATTCATTCAAGCACACCACACTCATCTGCCTTCCAAAAAGTAGGTCTCAGTGGAGGCACCTGAAAAGGGTCTGAGCAGAGACACCCTCCATCATCTTCCAATATGAAGGCCTCTGAATGGAGGCATTTAAGCTTGGAATGCAGGAATACCTATGAGCTTGGTCAGTAGGGTGGGGGAGGTGCCGAGAGGCTGAGTCCTCCACTGCAACTCCCCCTAGAGGCAGCAATGCACTGGTTGTACACCAAGCTTGAACTGTGCAGGGCAGCTTTTTACCCATTAGCATGGCCAGGTAAAGCCTTTGTAATTTCTATGATCAGGTTTGAAAGATAAGATATAGGGATGTGGCCTAGAGCCAAATTTCTCAATTACAAATAAAAATTACTTGTATTTTTATCTTTGCTTATATCCGTTATGCATGTACCTCTGTGTGTGTGTGTATGTGTGTGTGTGTGTATGTGTATGTGTGTGATTAATTTTCCTGCATTGTGTTAAGTAGGGATCTACCATATGTTATTAAACATAGAACTCTAAGAGTATTAGTTTAATTTACATATCTCTGAGAAAGAAAAGAAAATGTTTCTAATTAAACTATGACTCTCCACTAACTCTAAGATACAGACATTTCAGAATTGGTAAAATATGAGAAGTGGTGTTAGAATCAATGAAATGTAGTAACTTTATCTATTTTATTGCAAGTTAACAATCAATGGTCTTTCTACCACTAATTGAACTCCTCACATTTTTCTCACTTATGTGAATGTTTTCTAAATAAATTACATTTCACATAAACAGGTTTTCTGAACTCTCCATTTTGTTCTATTAGTCTTTCCATCAATTATTCTACTAATAACATCTTATCTCAATTCCCATCTTTTACTTTGATTAGAATTGACAGCATTAGAATATCAATTTTTCTAATAGACACTTACATTGTTCCAATTTTTTGTACTTGCTGGCAACACAAATTTAAATTCATGTAAATTCAATTTTGCATTAAGGTTAAATTTCTGAAGGTGAAATTGTTTATCAAAGTATATACATTTTAATTTTAATGGATATTACCAAATTTTACTCCAGAAATTGGATTAACTTAATGTTCCACCAACTGCACATAGATATATTTGTTTCTCCACACCTTTATTAATACTAAATATAATAAAATGTAAAAATAATTTCTGCTAACCTGGTAGTTTTAAACTAACAACTTATTGTGGCTTTATTTGTACCTTCCTAATCATATGTGAAACAATAGGATCCGGTTTATTCTGCCTTGGCAGGGTGGTCCTGAGAGTGGCAGGTGCCACCCTGTCCTGTGTGGAGGGAGGGCCCGAGGGCCAGTTAAGGCCAATGGTGGGAGAAGCGGGGGGCTGCAGCCCCTGGAATGCAGTGAAGCCAGGCCGAGGCCAGGGGGCAGCTGTGGTAGGCCAGGGCTGGGTGGAAGGCACTGGACTGGGACTGGGCCAGGGCTACAGGGCCGAGGACCCTGGCCACATGGGCACCCCGGAAGGCGGGGCACAGGGTCACATGACACAGAACATGAAACACAGGCACAGTGCTCACAGTAAGCACATGGACAAGTGGGCACAGGGTCACAGGCCAGATGCACACCCAACCATGGCTGGGCCAGACACCCGGGCACAGTGGTGGTGTCACAGACCACAACGGGGACATGGCGTTATGGGACACATGGATTTGAAAGCCACAATGCACAGACCAGACCACAGAGCTCGAGGGACAGGGGAAGGGGCCTTTTGGCACTACAGCACTGGATTCATATGAGACAAGGGTGGTGGGGCACTCCGGAGGTGCCTGGGGTGGTCCCCTTGTGGCCCCTCTAGGCTTAGTCCGTCTTCCACATTTTGTTGAGCAGCTTCACCACCTCATCATAGATGATAAACACTATGGCCACATCCAGGCAGACCCGGCCCAGGCGGGGGACAGTGCCCTTATAGAATGCCTTGAGCCCCTCCTTCCTCAGGATCTGCAAGCCACAGTCCCACGTGTTGCGGTATTTGTGCGCTTCCAGGCCCTGAACCTGAGTCTTAATCACGTCCAGAGGAGTGTTTCCAAAGACACTGGCTGCACCCGAAATAGCTCCGAAGCCTCCAGTGATCAGTGGGTTCATGGGCTTGTTGGGGTTGTCCCCTCGGTACCAGTTGTGCAGGGAGGTCATAAGGGAAAAGCGGATGGCCTGGTTTGAGCCCTGCTTCAGCACAGTGGCCATGAGGTCCTGGTATGTCCCCTTCAGTCCTTGTTCCCACACAATCTCCCTAACCCCGTGGAAGAATCCTCTGTACTTGGGGTTTGGAGAGGTCTGGTCGTGGATGAACTTCACCTTCCCAGCAGCCTCACTGGAGAAGTTCTTGGCAGAACTTCTACCGTTTTATTGGGATCACCGCCTAATAAAAATACTATCATTATTTCCATCATTAAACCCAACATAAACATTCCTAAAATATCAGTACTTGATACTCATATTTCAGGATGTTCATCAATTGCTATCGTCGCAGTATAACAAAAAACAACCATTATACCGCCTAAATAAAAAGCACATCTTGTTAGCATGAGTGCCAATCCACTATCCTTCCCATTGTAGCATTTCACATATCTTGGAGTTTGTTTCTTTGTGTTAAAATTCATTCTAATCACTTTTTATTTCATCAGTCTTTTCCTCGCATAACATTCATTTGATGTCTTCTTAAGAATGGCCACTAAAGCTAATGTAGCTGCCAAAACTACATGGACTCCAGCGGCTGAACTCCTAGACAACTCTTGAGAGGACGAGGCGTTGGTCCATCCCCAACCATATCAAACTGCCACACGACCATGGGTGTGTCACTGACCTAGACCTCACGTACAGTTAGCTGAAGGTCCATGATGATGGAATGGAGATAGGATAGAGAATAGAAGAGGAAATGACTTGGTGAGTGATAGCAAGGGACCAGCAGCATTACACCATGAGGTTTTGGAATGCAAGAGATCACATGGGAGTTGTGCTTATATAACTTTACAAGTGGCTCCTAGGGTGCTGCTGTAGCTTTGAGGTAGCCCATGGCCTTCAACCTCACCCCAAAGCAGTTACTGATGGCAAAGTCAAAATTACCATAGTACAGTAAGTGCATGAAATTTGTCTTAAATTTCAGTGAATATTAGGTTCTTAATATCCTTCAATAGTAACAGAAGCTGAGCAGTCCTCTAATTATGTGGTGCCCTGTGGATTATGGCCATACCTCGTATTTGATATTCCCTCTTATCTGGGAGTGTCTAGTTCTTACCCGGTTGCCAGCCATTATACAGGCTCTTGAGTTTTACATCATTCTGTGGAAATATTAAACAGAACACACTGTTCTATGGTATAACATTTTCTTTTTAATTAAATAAGATGTCTGCCCACCTTAGTGCCTAAGATGAGGCCTATACCTAATGCTGTATTAAACTGATTTATAGTGGACATATGCTCTCTGCAACCCAAAGGGAAACCAGAGCACCAGAGATTGGTAAGTAAGCAGACATGGGCAATAGACATACGTGGATGAATATTCCAAAAAGGAAATATCTGAGTACTGAAAAGAATGACACCTCTTACCTATCACATCATTCCAGCAGATTACCACTATGCTGGAAGCATCATGGACCATCACAGAAGGAACCTGCTATTCCAGCAACCATCAGGGATGTTCCAAGAAAGTTGGCATAAAAGCTTTATAAGCAAACAAACAAACAAAACACACAAAACAGTCATATTTATTCTAAAAGAAATATACAAATCAAGTAGCCCACCACCAAGAAGCAAAGCAAGAAGGTGTGGGAGTAGGGGCTCCTCAAAAGCAATGAGAGCAGTCTCAGGGGATTTGTCACTGTTTCTTACTCTGTCTTATAGAAATGTTTGTTCTAATATAATTTTCACTATGTTGAACTCTCTCAATTATTTAAATTAAAGGGATGTAATTTTAGCTATCTGGCATGTCCCTAAATCTCTGCCTTTTGTCTTACATAAGAATTGAAAATTGCTTGGAGTATAATTCTTAGATCAAACTTCTTTTCTGTAAAAGTTTGTTTTCTTAGCCCACAAGAGAAGCTTGATGCCATTTTCATTCTCTTCCGCCTGTAGGCTTATAAAGTTTTTTCTATATCTGTCATTCAGAAAATTCCCTAGGTACATCTTTCCAAATTAATTCTATTTTGAAGTCAGTGAACTTTTCCTACTTAAGGATTTATATCTTTCTGTTATTCAAGTTTTCTTATATTGCTTGATCATTTCTTCTTGTTCAGCTGCCCTTCTCTCTTTTTAGGAAGCCCTGGATCATTGCCATGTCTCATGTTTTCATCCATGTCTTCGATTATTTTTGCACTGACTTGCCAGAGAAATAATTTAGTTATATCAGTTTTGAGTTTCTTCATTGAAATTTTAAATTTAAACACCACTGATGTGGTTTGGCTGTGTCCCAATCCAAATCTCATCTTTAATTGTAGCTCCCTTAACTCCCAGGTGTTGTGGGAGGGACCCAGTGGGAGATAATTGAATCATGGGGTGTTCTCATGGTAGTGAATAAGTCTCATGAGATCTGATGGTTTTATAAGGGGAAATTCCTTTTGTTTGGTTCTTATCCTCTCTTGTCTGCCATGTAAGACTTGCCTTTTACCTTCTGCCATGATTGTGGGGCCTCACCATCAACATGGAACTGTGAGTCCATTAAACCTCTTTTTCTTTATTAATTACTCAGTCTCAGGTATATCTTTATCAACAGTGTGAAAATGGGCTAATACAGTAAACTGGTACCAGTAGAGTGGGCCACTGCTGTAATTATACCAGAAAATGTGAAAACTGCTTTGGAACTGGGTAACAGGCAGAGGCTGGAACAGTTTGGAGGACTCAGAAGACGACAGAAAAATTTGGAAAAGTTTGGAACTTCCTAGAGACTTGTTGGATGGCTTTGAACAAAATGTGGATAATGTTATGGACAATGAAATCAAGACTGAGGTGGTCTCAGATGGAGATGAGGAACTTTTTGGGATCTGGTGACTCTTTCTATGTTTTAGTAAAGAAACTGGTGACATTTTGCCCCTGCCCTAGAGATTTGTGAAACTTTGAACTTGAGAAAGATGATTTAGAGTACCTGGTGGAAGAAATTTCTAAGGAGCAAAGCATTCAAGAGGTGAATTGGGTGCTATTAAAAACATTCAGTTTTAAAAGAGAAATAGAGCATAACAGATTAGAAAATTTGCAGCCCGATGATACAACAGAAAAGAAAAACCCATTCGAAGTGGAGAAATTTAAGTTTGCTTCAGAAATTTGTATAAGTAACCAGGAGCCAAATGTTAGCTGCCAAGACAATGGGGAAAATATCTCCATGACACATCAGAAGTTTTCATGGCAGCCCCTCCTTGTACCATACACCTGGAAAAGCTGCAGACACTCAACAACAGCCTGTGAAAGCAGCTGGCAGGGAGGTTGTACCCTGCAAAGCCACAGAGATAGAGCTTCCCAAGACCATTGGGATCCACCTGTTACATTGATGTGAGCTGGATATGACACATGAAGTCAAAGGAGATAGTTTTGAAGTTTTAATATTTGACTGCCCCCCTAGATTTTGAATTTTTGCATGGAGCCCATAGCCTTTTTGTTTTGGCCAATTTCTCTCACTTGGAATGGCTGTATTTACCCAAAGCTTGTGTCCCCATTGTATGTAGGAAGTAACTAACTTGTTTTTGATTTTTCAGGTTCACAGGGAGAAGGGACTTGCCTTGTCTCAGATGAGACTGGACTTTTGAGTTAACACTGAAATTAGTTAAGATTTTGGGGAACTGTTAGGAAGGCATGATTGGTTTTGAAATGTTAGGACATGAGATTTGGGAGGGGTTAGGGGTGAAATGATATGATTTGGCTATGTCCCTACTCAAATTTCATCTTGAATTGTAGCTCCCATAATTCCCACATGTTGTGGGAGGAAACCAGTGAAAGATAATTGAATCATGAGATATGATGGTTTTATAAGGGAAAATCCTTTCACTTCGTTCTTATTGTCTCTTGTCTGCCACCAAGTAAGATGTGCCTTTCACCTTCTGCCATGATTGTGAGGCCTCCCCAGCCATGTGACACTGCAAGTCCATTAAACCTCTTTTTCTTGGTAAATTACTGAGTCTTACGTATGTCTTTATCAGCAGCATGAAAACAGACTAATAAAACCATGTTTTCCATTTTATAAAACTCTATTCACTTTGTAGTTTTTTGATTGTTCCATTGTGGTATGAAATCATACAACTTTACAATTCATTCAAGATTTTCTTCTGTTCTAAAACTAAACATTATCTTAATAGGAATCACTGCTTTAATCACTTGGCTTGATCTAAAATTAGTGTGTTCTTATGACCTAATCTTTCTCTTTCTACTCATGCCTTTGGGTAAGGATAATTCCCTCAAACAATTCTAGATATCACTTTAAATTCTCCAGAGAACCTGATCTGAAATCATTGGGAATACAGTATGTGTTTCTTGGCTATTAGGCAGAAAGTGACTCTTCTGGCTCAGCTGAGGTTAATTCTTGCTTAGACCTATTACTTCATATGCCTTTCTAGTAAAAGTGGAGAGAGACAGACTTCTCATAGCTGCACTGAAGAAGAGTTTATTACAACAGTCACTTTCTAATAATACATGATTATAAACACCCTGATTATTTCTACCTTAATTGCACATACAGGGCAGGGCAAAGTCCTTTAGAGACTCTAATCACTGAAGACATAACAATGTGCCTCCTGTTTTCCTCCATACTATATGCAACTAACAGTAAAAAATAAAAACTAGGCAAAAGAGGATGAAGAGATATCACACATCTATAATATGATTTGTCAAGTATCCATTAAAAATTATAGGTTTAGTTTTCTGAGTTGAAAGGGAGGAATAAAATAACAGTTCCCATTTTAAATCCTAAACAAATATTAATAAATAGGTAAAACATAGAAGAAAGGAAGAAAGAAAACATTTATAAATATCCATAGATAATTTCCTCCTGCATTAAATCAAGGAATAAGAGCATGGAAAATAAGAAGGCAGAAGATAAAATAGAAAAGCAGCCCCTCTGGCTCTTACAGTTTAATAAAACTGTGACTGAAATCTAGTGGTTTTATCTATTCCCTTAATTTTATCAAGAAAATATCAAAAGGTTACAGAATTAAAAACAAGAAAATTTATCTGTCATACTAATTAGTATAAGAAGAATTAATTAGTCTATTAAAACAGATTAAATTTGAAACTAAAACCAAAAGTATCTTGTGTTTAGGGGAGAAAATTAAAACAAGTGACTTACAAAAGTTGGAAGTAAAATAGTAGGCAATTATATAATAAGTAAATGCAATTAAAAATCGTAAAATTGTCATATTGGTATTAGCCAAGGGAGAAATTGAAGCAAAAAGCATTAAATTTGTGAAGTGACAACTTAATTAATAATAAATTGCAAAATTCACAAAGAAGACTGTGACTATTTAATCGTCTGATTGTATAAACTCTAAATGTATAAAACATATTTCAGGAAATGTAACATAAAATACAAAGCCTATTATTATTATTATTATTTAATTTTATTGCATTTTAGGTTTTGGGGTACATGTGAAGCACATGCAAGATTGTTGCATAGGCACACACATGGCAGTGTGATCTGCTGCCTTCCTCCCCATCACCCACATCTAGCACTTCTCCCCAAGCTATATCTTCCCAACTCCCCTCCCCCACTGTCCCTCCCCTATTTCCCCCCAACAGACCCCAGTGGGTAGTGCTCCCCTCCCTGTGTCCGTGTGTTCTCATTGTTCAACACCCACCTATGAGTGAGAGCAT